TTTTTTTCCGGTACCGGGAACTGAACCCACGACCTTGTGCTTGCCAGGCAGGCGCTTTTGCCGCTGAGCTAAATCCCCAGCCCCATAATTATTTATTAAATTCACTTATTTTTCTTTTGATTTTAGCCCTGTGCTAATGTGTTATACCAGAAGCAATATGGATTTGTGCCAGTTACATCTTTTTTATATACACATTTTGTAAAGAAAATATTTATATCTATGTAACATATAATTTTCTTATATACTATCAGTGGTTTTTGTACCATACATGACAACCTTGGTTAATCGTTCATCCATATCATGCAGCCCTTGGAAATGATGATGTGGTTATATATTTTCTGACTTAAAAAGATGTTATTTTGAATATGTGAAAAAGGAGATACCAAAAAGGTGTATGCCCTATATATGTATTTTTATAATAAATATATTTATATTATAATAATTGTTTAGGTACTTAGAATTTTATGCACTAAAATATTAACAGTTGCAATGGCTCTGTGACATGATTATGGGTATTTTCTAACTTAGTTTTTCTTTATATTTTAATTTTTAAACTATTAATAAACACTTTTCTAATGTATTAAAAATTAAATAAGTACACATATTCTAATAGTTTAGGACATAATTTCCTTAAGCTGATTGTAAAAGATCTTACAGATTATGGGTTAATTTGATTTCATTTTCTAAGTATTTTGCTCTTTGTTTTCACCAATATTTAATTTTACTCCTTTCTTCAATACCATTTTCTTTTGTTCTGCTTAAAATAGGCCATTCAGAAAGGAAATACAGAAGTTGCAAGAATCCATGCTGAAAATGCAATCCGTCAGAAAAATCAAGCAATAAATTTCTTGAGAATGAGTGCTAGAGTTGATGCTGTGGCTGCCAGAGTCCAAACTGCAGTAACAATGGGCAAGGTAAAATTTAGTATCTGTAATTAACAGAAATTCTGTTGCAGGGTAAAAGGAATTCTTTTATAATGTTGGTGGGAATGTGTACTAGTACAACAACTATGGAAATCAGTACGGAGATTCTATAAAAAACTTAACGTAGAAATTTCTGCTTGACCCAGCTATACTTCTGGTTATCTTCCTGAAAAAGTTAATGTCATCATATTGCAATGATTATTAGTACAACCATTATGGAAATCAGTATGGAGGTTCTATAAGAAACTAAACATAGAAATTCTTGGGGCTGGGGATTTAGCTCAGTGGCAAAGCGCTTCAAGGTCGTGAGTTCGATTCCTGGTACTGGGAAAAAAAAAAAAAAGAAATTTTGCTTGACCCATCTATACTTCTGGTTATCTTCCGAAAGAGATAAAGTCATCATATTATAGTGCTACATGCCTGTTCATGTTTTAGAATAGCAGCATTTACAGTAGCTAAATCATTGAAGTAGCCTGTATACTCACAGCAGATGAATGGATATAGAAAGTGTGTTGCATGTACACAGTGGAATACTACTCAAGGCATAAAGAAGATAAATTTGAGTTATAGGTGGGAAAAGGGATGCATCCTGAGACCATACGTGAAAATAAAGCAGACACAGAAAGTTAAATATGACATGGTTTCTCCTCTATGAAAAACTCAAAATAGTAATAATTTAAACAGCATTATAAAGGAGATATAATAGAAAACAGGGAGGTAGACCTTTTGGACATAGGAAGGAAATCTGGAAGGAGAGAGGGGGATGGGAGGGAAGGGGATTAATATGATCAAGATGTGATATGTATATGTTCTCTTTCCCCAGAAGAATGTAATTTTGTATTGCAAACATGTTAAAGAAGTTTAATGAGAGCAGTACATGTTCTCAGATAGAAATTAAGTGTATTGCAGGGTGTTACAGGGTGGTTGTAAATGCATTTAGAGATTGGAATAATGTAGTCAAAGTGCTTAGTGAGGAAAGTGATTCTGGCAGTGGATTTTTGAAGTGAGGTCTGATTACTTTGCTTCTAATGAAGTGCACTGTCCAAGATATGAAAATATAAAGTAGTTTAAACCAGATTGCATTATATGTTTTTGCTGTTAAGGGAAAGATAGATAAGTTTTGTAAGTTGAATGATACCATATTGAACAAATACAAAAATGTTGGCATTACTTATAATACAGCATGGTAAATCTGTTTTCATACCCCAAATAGGTAACAAAGTCCATGGCAGGCGTAGTTAAATCTATGGATGCTACACTGAGGAGTATGAACCTTGAAAAGGTAAAAAAAAAAAAAAATAGACAAAATTACTTTATATCTTGATATCCATGTAGTATCTTTTAAGTGTAAGCTTTTCTTATGACCATATTTTACAGATTTCTGCGTTAATGGATAAATTTGAACACCAATTTGAAACTCTAGATGTTCAAACACAGCAAATGGAAGATACAATGAGTAGCACTACAACCCTAACAACTCCACAAGTAAGATTAGTTTATCTCCTTAGAATAACTTGTTAAAATCACCTGACTTCAAAATATAATGGCTTTGTGAATCTAAATCTTGTTTATATTGCTAGATAAATAGAGTCCCACAATGTAGGTCGGAATTTATTGCTCTGCCCTTAGTTGAGGAGGCATTGGAAGACTATATTCCCTATGTTGATTTGGAGTTCTGGGAATTATATGGAATCACGTTTAGATTCTAGAGCATGGTTCCACCTGACTGCTAATGGTGCTTTTTTATTAAGTAAATGCATTTTAATAAATACTTTGAAACTCTACTCATTAATGTGGTAATATGTCATGTTCTGATCATACATATTTTGTACAGTGTTTAAATCAGATTAATCATATATATCTCTTTAAACATCAGTTCTTTATGTAAAAGCTTTCGAAATTATTTCTTCTGGCTTTTTTAAATGTACAGAATATTATTGCTTTCTGTAATTACCCTACTATGTATTAGCACACTAGAACATTTTGCTCTACAATATTTGTTGAATATTGTTGAATTGAGTGGAATACATGAAAATGTATATAACCTGTGGCCTAGTACTTTGACTTTCAAATTTATGCATCAAGAAGCTCCTATATGTGCATTTAAATATGTATATATATGTATACATATATGCATATATGTAATTATAAAAACACATACACACATAATATATATTGTCTCACTGTGCATTACAGAAAGAAAAGAAGAATAACTGAATATCCAGAATCAGAATGGATAAATAAAATTGAGTATTTCTACACTGCAACATCTAAAAGAAGCTAAAGTTAATGAAATAGATCTCTAAATATCAATAAAATTAGATATTAAAGCTTGATTAAAGTAAAGCAAGTTATAGAATAATTCTTTATAATAATGTGTTTTCAAAACACAGAAAATGCTTCTTTAGATGTGAAGTAAAAATGCCTAACATGATAATGTACATGGATGTGGGGTCTATTTTCTGAAATTTTTCTGTATTTTGGAAATATTTTTGAAGCAAACAATAGAGAATTGAAACTGGTTGATAAAGAGGTTAATGATTTTCTTAAAGTCACACATCTTGTGGGCAGATCTATGACCATGTTTTAGAACTCCCTCTTGTATGTTTAAAATATCTTGAACAGCTGAGTGGAGTTTTTTTTGACTAATCATACTATTCCCTGAAAATTCCTTTGTCTTAATGAACATCTCAATATACTTTTCCCTTAGTGCCCATGGAGAATTAGTTCCAGGACCCCCTCTGCATACTAAATACTGAAGGTGCTCAAGTGTTTTATATAAAATGGTATAGCATTTTGCATATAATACATCTACATCCTCGCATAAAATTTAAATCATCTTTAAATTACTTGTAATCCCTACTACAATGTAAAAGATGTAAGTAGTTATTATACTGCATTCATTAAAGAATAACAGGAAAAAGTCTGTACCGGTTCATTACAAATGTAGTTCTTTTGCCAAGTGGTTTTGAATTGCGATTGGTTCAATCTGTGATGCAGAAGTTAGGGGTTATGGAAGGCTAGCTGTAGTTATATTTTATTCATCTCTGCATGTTTTTAAAAAGTGTCATCTGTAATGTCAAGTGTACATCAACTAAGAAGAAAGAACTGCCACAGTATTTTATTACAAACTTTAAATCTGTTGTAGTTTAAGTAAAGCAAAGTAATAACAGCTGTATAAATTGGGTCACTGCCTTATTCAGGGAGCTGCATCACTCAGAGATTCAAATTATATGTGATTCTCACTACTATTTTTACACAGTCTCATAGCATAAGGCTTGAAAACTTAATATTACTCAGAGAAAAGTCATATTCTGAAATAATTCAGCTTTGGTGGTGAGATAAACATTTAAAAAAACCTTTCTTTTCCAATTTATAGATCCTATTTTAAAGCTAAATCAAAAATCCAAACTAGCCCAAAGCAGATGTTACTAGAATATAACTTTTTGTTTTCTTATTCTAGAACCAAGTGGATATGTTGCTTCAGGAAATGGCAGATGAAGCTGGGTAAGGAGTTATTCAAGAGCTTTTAGATAGTCTTGATTTAATATCTCCATATTCTATAATTCTGTAATGTGGATGGAAATATTTATCTTTACCAGCGTTGCTCAGAGTTAGGTTTCTGACTCAAGCTTTAATATTTCAAGGACCTTTTTTTTTTTTTGGTTTTTTTTTTGGTTTTTCTCCGGTACCGGGACCTGAACTCACGACCTTGCGCATGCCAGGCAGGCGCTTTTGCCGCTGAGCTAAATCCCCAGCCCCATTTCAAGGACCTTTTTATGATCATCCATGTCATTGTCATGCTCAGAAAAATGTGACATTATTCACATCATCTTAGTATTTTTTTTTTAAATCTCTAGAGCTAGACTACTTTAGTGTGTGGTAATATGAAGTGGAAGAAAGTGCGAAGGGAGGCAAAGTGTTTAAACATTTGCTGACCATCGACTACGCACAGCATATACAAAATGCCTGGATTTAAAAAAAAAATCTCACAAGAAAGTTCTGTGATCAAGCCATTGAGTCTTAAGTCCATTTTGAGTCTTGCAAACTGACCAATATGTGCAGTATGTCCAGGAGATTCAAAACACAGCAACATTGCAGATGGTCCTGTCTTTTTCAAAGTAAATAATCAACACCTTTGTAGTGCTAAAAGTTGTCTGATATGGCTTCATTGATTTACAACCTTCATGTTTTGGGGATGATTTGATAATGGTATCTGGGCTACAGATAATCATGTTACATCAGTATTTTCAAATATAATATTTAGGTCAAGATAACATTGTAGTAGGTGAATATGGTGGTGCACATCTGTAATCCTAGCACTAAAGGGGCTGAGGCAGGAGTATAACCATGAGTTCAAAGCCAACCTGGGCTACATAGTGAGTTCAAGGCCATCCTGAACAACAAAGTGAGAACCTGTCTCAGAAAAGAAGAGTTGACAGTAGTAAAGAATAAAAATATATTTTCTAAGATAAACATTAAAACTAAGTATTGTTCGTGTTTTAGATTTTTATCTTCAAAAGTAGATTAGGTTGAAGCAAAGTTCATGTACTGTTTTTCTTTTCTTTTGGGAAGAAAATATTCAAAGGCACCTAGAAAATAGAGTTGGTAAACATTACTGTCTAATGTAATACTTGATTAGTATAAACAGTTACGTTTGTGGACTCTTTATATCACTAATGTGTCATTAGAAAATTAAAAAAATCTGGATAATAAATGAAAAATAAGCCTTGCAATATTTGAGAACAGAACTAAAGGTTAGGTTGCACGTTCTTTTCCTCTGTTAGCATCCGGTGCAGCCTACATGCAAAAACAGGAAAGTGCTAGCAAGGTGATTTTTGCTAAGTATTATAAAAGAAATCAAGGCATTGTACATCAGAATACCCCATTTTATTAATAAGGGACTAAGGACTTATTTCTATTACTACTAAAGACTATATAAGAAGATTAAGCCTGAAAATACAGGAAGAGGCCTTTATAAAATGTTACCACTTACTAGCCTTACTAAGTCTCAGTGATAAATCATGATCAGTAGGCAACTTTTTGATAAGCTTTTGACAAGTATTTCTCAACATCAGCAGTATTGATATTTTGGACTGAATAATCCTAGGGGCCGTCTTGTGCATTATAGCGTGCTTAGTAACATCCTGACCTCTATCTACTAGCTATCATTAGCACCATTTCCCTTAGTTGTAACAGCCATTCACGTCTCCAGACATAGCCAGTTGTTTCTTGGGTGAGTTAGGGGCCAGAATTGAAAGATTATGTCAATAATATGTGACGATTAGAGCAGTAGACATAAGTAGAATCAGCTATATAGAAGTACTATTGCCCATCCTTAAGAATATTTGAGTTTTGTAATTGTAACAGAATTTTAGTGTGGCATATCTTTACCTCTCCAGCAAAAATCTGTCTATAGCATCTCATGATGACTATTAAAATTACTATATTTCCTGTAGTATTTTCGGTTTTTGGTTTTGGTTTTTCTCTGGTACCGGGAACCGAACTCACGACCTTGCGCTTGCCAGGCAGGCGCTTTTGCCGCTGAGCTAAATCCCCAGCCCCTCCTGTAGTATTTTCAAACTGGAGTTGGTATACAGTGATTTAGAGACAGGCTGAAAGGATAGGTATATCCTATAGGAATAGTACAATGGAAAGTAAATGAATGGAGAGACAAAGGTAAGTTCAAATTCTGTCTCTTATCACTGAAGTGATCTTGTCCAAATAAATGTACTTAACTTTTCTGAATCTCATTTATATGGTTTGATGCAAGCAGTGATTCACATTAACAGGAGTCAGGGAACTAAAATGGAAATTAGATATTAGATATGGATCCTGATGCTACATTTATTAGGTTGTTTTATCTTTTTTTTTTTTTTTTTGTCTTACTCATTTTCTGTTACAGTGAAGGAAACATATAGTAATCTCCCATAAATCTGTCAGGTGACTATTACTTTAGTCCTTTGTTCAGAAGACCAGATCATTTCTTGGTCTTAGTATTTTATTAGCTTTTCTGTTGTATGATAACCATCCATATGGATCACTGATAGTGCTCCACAAAATAATTTGAAATTAGTAAATTCATTTAACTTAAAGTGGACATTCAGGAGATACTTAAGTTCTCTTTACATTTATAAAATGGAGTCTTTCTAAATTAAGACAAAATGAAAGAAGCAGTAATAAAATTTGCAATACTTTTTATTGCTTTTTTAATGATACATTTTGTTTTATGGAAAAAAGGTAAAGCAAAATGTCATAATAAAATAATAGGAGAATAACAGTAGCTAATATATTACATGTTGTTATCTTTAAAATAGTTGCTCAGGGTACAAGATGTGGGCATAAAAATTTCTCTAATTGATAGCGCAAACCTTCCTTTTTAATGAACTTAGAGACACTAAGAGTATAACTGAGTTATGTTTTTTCCCTTTGCCCTACTGTCTTTTCCCCTTTCACCTGTCCTAGTTCCTTTTTCATTTTGAACAATTTCTTCCCATTTCACAATGTCTGTTGTACATTTTAGACCTTATTTACTCTTTCAGTTTCTCACATCAGGGAAACAATATGATGTTTACACACGTGAGTCTGATTTATTTCACTTAGGAGTATGGTCTCAAGTTGTATCCATTTACCTATAAAAGTTTCAATTATCCTTCCTTATGGCTGAGTAGTACTCCATTATATAAAAATACCACATTTTTTTAATCCATTCCTTGGTTGATAGGCATTTGGGTAGTTTCCAAGATTTAGCTGTGACAGATTGTGCTGCTATCAACATGGGTGTGCATATAGCACTGTGATATGATATTTTTAATTCTTCTGGGACACATGTATTAAGACTCATTTATGCTAATTATTTTAAAATTGATTTTCAGGCTTGATCTCAATATGGAACTGCCACAGGGTCAGACAGGTTCTGTTGGCACAAGTGTTGCTTCAGTTGAGCAGGTAGATATTGGGTTTTACTTTAATTTTATGCATTTGATATATAATTAAATATATAACTTGTACAAGTTAAACTTGTATAAGTTTATATTTATGTAGAAGAAAGTATATATTTACTTTTTCATATAAGGTTTTTTTCACTATATCATGATAAAATAGCAGAATGTGATTACTGTTTAACTCTATAATAAAGGGTACTGTCTATTCATATGGACACTATAGAATGATTTTGATTTCTTTCATCCCTTCTACTCTGTTAAGTTCTCCGTGTCTTTTCAGATGTTTAAAAATTGAGCTCACAATGTTATTAATGTGAATTTTTAGACATTTTAAATCTTACTTAAAATGCAAGATATTTGAAATACTAGTGATTTTTATTTATGAAGACTTTGATGACTTACAAAATTTACTTTCTCTAGGATGAACTGTCACAGAGACTTGCTCGTCTTCGTGATCAAGTATAACTGAAAGAACTGGTGCTTCTATTTTCTTCACTTGCTGAAATATTCTTCGTGTGTATTTATAAATAAGTTGCACTCCATTTGCATTAAAATCTCCATATGCGAATATGCTTAGACTTTATTTGTATATAATGCTTTCTTTTGTCTTGCTGTAATTTCCAACACATTTTTTTTCCCAGGCAGTTTCCACCTGGGAAGATTTTTCAGTTCTGTATATTATGTGTAAAAGTGTGAGGGGCATATTTTTGTAGATATCTTTGGCAAAGCTAGCATTAATTTATTGTATATTAAACATCTTCCTCAAATATTAGATCAAAAGTGTAGCACCAAGTACTTCTAGTTAAAGTACTTTTTACAGAATAAAGTATAGAATAAAAGTTTTGGACTTAATTCAAAGTCATTTTTAATCTTTGTAGTGACAAGTGCTTCATAAACATAAAAGCAGGGAAAGTGTGTTTACTTAATATGTTTTACTATGTTTACATAGCCAGAGGACCTCATTTAGTGTCACACAATGAACAATGCCATTTTCTGTGTTTTTTTTGTTTTGTTTTGTTTTGTTTTTTGTCTTTTCGATACAGGGTCTCACTATGCAGTTTAGGCTGGTCTTGAACTCACTTTTGTAGCTGAGGCTGGCCTCAAACTCACAAACTCACAACGATCTTCCTGCCTCAGCCTCCCGAGTGCTGGGATTATGGGCGTGCACCACCATGCCTGGTTTGTGTTTTATTTTGTATCCAAAGAGAAGCACAGTTGACCTTTAATCTGTGTTCTTCAGCTCTTAAACTTTACCATTAATTTAATGACTTCACCCCTTAGTTTAATGACTGTTGGAATATCTTAAACTTTTAAAAATGTTTCATTGATAATTTTCCTAACTAGACAATTCAGTGATGTTAAATCAAGAAATAGCAGTTTGCTCATTTTTCAATTTTCAGTTTGTTAAATATCATTAAGAATCTAACTTGAGTCATTTGTAGGAAAGTGGTTGCATCTTGAGATCATAATGTTAAGTGAAGTATATCAGACATACAAACTTTAAATATCGCATGGATTCTCTTATATAAGAAAACCAAAATACAAATAAAAGGTAATAGATAGTAGTAAGATACCTCTTTTGCAAAGAAAAGGGGAAAAAGAGGTGGGAGTGGGTAATGAAAAAAGAATATTGTGTATGTGTGCCAGCTGCTCACGAGGACTGTAACCATTATGTTCTGCAAACGGGTACTAATAAAAGAAAGAAAAAATTATAATATGACTTTTCATACTTCCAAATGAAATTCTAAAGCATACTTTTAATGATTTTCCTGTATATGCTTATCTCTTCTTCATGTATTTTCAAAGGAGACTAATTTGCATGATATTGATATCATTTACATGTTTTCATATGATTGTTGATTAATTGCTCGTCCAGAATTTTGGTATGTCTTTTTATACCAACCAGCAAAATAACTAAAAATGAAAACAAAATGAACCAACTCAAGTTATAACTTTGGTCAATTCCTGGTTAAATCCATTCATTGTTTTCTTTTTATGCAACTCTTTTACTAAGTGGAAAAAATAAAGTGGAAATAAATAAGTGGAAATGCTTTGTACTGTCATGCAAATAACTTGTAACCCAGAAGAGAGCACAACATAAAGTGTTGGGGTTCGGAACACCACAGTCAAAAGATTCTGTTGAAATTTCAATAGTTCTGGATTGAAGGATTTTTCCTTGAAGGAAACCATTTGATGACCAGCTAGCTGTACTGTCTATCAGCTCTCCAGTAATATGAATATTTTACCCACCTGAAATAAACAAATTAGCATGGGCCGGCAGTTTTCTGATACAGCTATCACAGTGGAAAAATGGCCAAGTTAACACTGCTAATCTCAAATACTACTAATATAGGTTAAATAAGTTAGGTCCTTTTTCTTTATTTACTGTAAGATTCATCCATGAAAAATCTCCAGTTCCATTGAAGCTGAAGTTCTATTGAGCAGTAAATCTGTTTAGAAAATCTTTCATACTCAAATATGATATTTCCTACCATGTATGAGTGAAAACTACCATTTACTGGTTAATAAAATGAGAAATTACTCTTCTGCTAAATTTGGATTAAAACTTTTTAACATTTTTGGAACTTGATTATATGATTAAGACTTTAATGTGGGAATTTTTCATTTTGTTTATAATTGATGCTTAGTCCTTTCTACTTAAAGAGTAAGTTTGTTGGTATTGGAACAGCCTAGGCAACACAAAAGAGATTATTAACAGATTAAAATATCTGTGAAATAGTCTGTTTTCCATTTTGGGGCCCTTTTTTTTTTACTTGAATAAAGTTGTTAAACTATGAATACTGCTTACTTAAATCTACAAATGTACATACTTCTGATCTAAAAATAACTTCATATTATAACAGCCATATCAAATTTATACTTCAAAAACATTGATAGACCACAAGTTTTCCTGGTTTTATTACTTGATTTTCATATAAAAATTTCTTTCTTTGAATTTGTTCTTAAGCCTATGGCCTCTAAACCTGTGAACTCCTACCTTTTATAGATAACTACATTTTCCTAAGTATTTGATTATATTATTTAGTTAAGTATGTAAGGTCATGTGCTCAGAAACATTTTGCTTTACTTTCACCATTAGCTAATGTGGATTAAAAACACCCCCGTTCATATGCCTGAATGCTGACAATCTTCCATCTTCCTATATACTACTTGAGCTAAACATTATGTTCTAGATGATCTTACCGGGTTAATTTTTTTTTTTTTTTTTTTGTGGTACCGGGAATCAAACTCATGACTTCATGTTTGCAAGGCAAGCGCTGTGCCACTGAGCTATATCCCCAGCCCTTACCTGGTTAATTTGTTAGCAGTAATTTTTACAGAGATGAAACAGTGTAGATAGAACAAGTAGGTTGTGGTATGAGATGAATGCTTTACTTTGGAAAATTGCAAGATTGGAGCATCTGGACCATCTGAAGAGAAGATAGCTATGGAGAAATTAATAGCAAATGATTAATAAGATGACCCAAACAAATTCAGCCCAATTATCTATGAATCTTACGAAACTAGTAGATCACACCTTCAAAGCAAAGTCCACATTGGTTGTTAAGTAGAATGTAGAGGAAGAAGTCTAAGATCAAACTTAAAGTAATTCATGTGTTTTCTCATCTTAGCTCTGATACTCTTTTCTAACTTAGGTAATTCTCGTACCTTCTACTGTACCTTAGATTCCTTTTCTTCAAATATTTTCTGGATATATTGTTCACATAAATTGCAGTGTGTTCCTGTAGTCCAATACATTACCTTTATTTATTTCTGGATTCTGCCATTCTCCAAAGAACTCTAAATGCAGTATTATGAGATTTATGGGTCTTTGAATCTTTTGTTTCAGAGAACCTACAGAATATATAGTTTGACCCCACTTCCCGTTGCAAGACAAGACTGAACACCAAAGAGATTCAAATACATCACATTGGGTGAGCACCTGCTATGTGTTAGAAACTGTATTGGGCACTTTGATATATTGTGGTTTGTCTAATCTTCAATAAAATCCTGAGCAGCTATGATAGTTACCTTAATTTTTAAAGAACAAGAAGGAAGCACATTATTTAAGTGGATTGCCTAGATTCATACAGCTACTGTAAACCACCTGGAATTTGGTCACAAATCATGTCTCTTCAGATCCAGCGCTCTTACCACTGTGCTCCAGCTAGGTTTATACCCATCCATAGTGCTAATCCCAGTATATAGTGTGCTGATTTTATTGCTGAGATAGTCAACTTTTAGTAAAATAATACATCCAGGAAAAAATGGATATTTAATAGAGTTCTTATAGTCAGAGATTAATTATTCTTTCCCCAGTTTGAGCTGTCAAGAAAAGTGACTTTCTGCAATTTGGAAATCACAGCCTTTTCCCCACGAATTAACAAATGAATTAATTTGTTACGTAGTTAAGTTGTATTCATCCTTAAGCTTTGCATTTTCTGAACAAGGCAAATATTCCCAAGCACAAAGATACACTGGTAAAATCACTCAACTGAAATTGCAAAAATGAAATCTTTCACCTGTTGATACCATTTACATTCTTTTTTTTTTTTTTTTTTTTTTTTTGATACCATTTACATTCTTAAAATTTATTGCTTCCTTACTGTAGTAGCAGGTACACGGTTTTCGAAACTGCTTTGCTACCAACAAATCAGAGCTAAGTGCCTGTACTGCATAATAAATGGTTTAATGTACTAACTACTAAATCATGAAATATTTTGTCTGTCAGGCAGTTCAAAGCTTTCCAGCCTTCACTTAGAAAAGTAAAAATGAAACGTTAAAGAGAAATTTATTTTTGTCAGATAAATTACACTGTTTTATGTTCTCAGACTTAGTAATGGAAGGAGAATTCTTCATTATATCTGTCATTAAAATAAGGTTAGGCCCCATGTTCGAAATAAAGATTCATAAGATGAACTCTGTACCCATAAGGAAATCTTACTCAAATTTGATCATGCTGGAGCTTACATGTTTAGTTTCTGCTTTATCAGGATGATACCATTGTGAGAGAAAAAGAAGTTTCAGAAAATAGTCATTCATAGTGATTTTTATGACATAAAGGAATCTGTGTGTTGAAGTAACAGTAATCAATGAGGGCCTTCTATATGAAGTTTAAATGCTTCTTTAGATTCAATGAACCATAAAGTCTAAGAACCAATGTGGAGTTAGATGAAAGGGAGGGAGCCATAAGGGAGGATGTTTTTCTAAGTAACAGGGGAAAAAGTCCCCCTTGCTAAGATCTATTGAGAGTTACCCAGCTCAATGTGCCTTTTTGAGACTTTCCAGGATTTTATGGAATCTGCATTTGCAAAAGAAAGATACTGAATCCAAAGCCAGATTTACTATTCCCAGATGTGGCACTTATTGTATGCCTTCCTAAAAAAAAATTAATTAGCTAGGTTGAAGATCAGAACACCATCTCACTAATAAAGAGACCTGAAATTACCTTGCCTTATTTTAACTTATCAAGAGGCTATAGAGCTATGGAAAAACTTGCCTGTGTGAAATCTCTGAGTAGGACCTTACCTGAGCTGCCACAGTTCTTGCAAAGCTAGGTTTGAATGAGGATAAGAAATGAGAGAGATTCAAAATGGCAACACTAATTAAAAGAGTTTTCACATTAACTATTTAGCACCTATTATGTACAAAGCCCACACTTCCCACTATTGCCAGATTAGTGTTTTGTACTTCAAAAGATTTTATTTTAAATTTAGCAGAGGAAGAGTGGTAGTCAAGCATATACAGAGTCTACCAAAAATATATACAATAGCGAAAGAAAAACTTGTGTAAATATTTTTAATAATTTATCGAGACTTCTTGTTTTTATTTTTTGTACCGGGAGTTGAACTCCGGACCTTGCGCTTGCCAGGCAGTTGCTATACCACTAAGCTATATACCTGGCCCGATTTATTGAGACATCATAAGATTGACACAAGTTACCTTTGGCCTCCACAATTACAAGATGTGCTCAAAGTGGTGGCTATTTGCTTCCAGACATTTATTAGTATGGCAAACTACTGAAGTATCTATACATTTTTTTAGCGGACTGTTAAG